GACGTTTAATCAATACACACCTGAACTGTTGTCATGACCCTTGGCCATAAGGATTTCATTTGGTTTTCCGCACACCAACTGCTGTAGGACCCCCGTGGACCCCCGAGACGGACCGCGAGCGACCTGTGGTTTATTTGAACATCTGCCCAGCAGATGAAATCAAAAATCTTTTGCTCTATTTTCTGCAAAACAAATAATCAAGTGTATCAGGCGGTATGTGCAATTAGGTCTGTGTCAACCATTCAATATCTAATTAATATTGCTATGAAACATTTGCTTGTTGTGCATGAAGATTGTAAATTAATTCAACTTTCACGCCCCCCCTTACCACCAAAAAGGTAAAAAGGTTTGAGGCTAAAGTTTGGAAAGAAAGAGGAAAGATTATTTAAATGTTTCCCCATATGGAGCATTTTATTGTGAACACTAATTCTAAAAATATTGCATTTAAATATTGAAGGAACATTTTGGATTGCAAGTCATTTTACAAATCTCTCACATCTCTTTGTGTTTAAGTCGAGATACTGAAACATGATCCGATACGGCCACGAAGCAATGAGTTCATAGATGTGGCATGCATGAATCTTTCACCTCACTAAATATTTAATCCTTGCTCTGAATCATTTACAGCAAAGCCCTTACTGTTGTTCTTCAGGCAACATGTGCATGCAGTTTTACCCCCACTTCCCCTCCCTCCCTCCCCCCACCCCTTCTCTCTCACTCTCCCCGTCAGTTGGACAAGCTGCTCAGTGGCCCGGAAACATGGCACATTATGCCGCTCTATTGATCGTCATTCAGAGCTACACGGTAAATCCGAATGCGATGTAAATGATATGATGATTCCCTCTAAGGCAACATTAACTTTACTAGTCAGCAGTTTCGCGTGCAAAGGTTGACTTCATGAGTCAATGGAGTAAACAGGGATGTTCACTTCATGTGGTGGTTGCGCTGGCGGATAGAAGTACGACAAACAAAAACTATTTCCGAGCACTGGTGGTTAAACCGGGGCTACACGTATGAGATCAATAACTGCTGAACAATTCTCTTAATTAAGAGACTGGCTAATCTCGTTGAATACAAAATTCAGATTTGCTCTCGAGTTGACTGTGCGATTTAGTTAAAGGAGTCAACTGGAGGTCATTTGGGGATTCTGGCTGAATGCGTGTGCACATGTGAAAAGAAACACTAGAATATGCATGACTGCCATCATCTCCTTGTTTAACCAGCCATGCTCTATAGCGTAGCTCTCGACGAAATGTAACTAGAGATAAGAGTTAGAGAGTTAGAGAGTTTAGTTACAACAGTTGCCAGTAAGCCAGCTAGCGCAAAGACAAAAAAAATCAATCACATTTATGGGCCGCGAGCGAGGTGAAGGTTTTACCGTCTCCATCGGCTGTAGCTTGTGCCACTGTCTCCCACACAGATCATTTAATGGTTAAACTCAGAGTCCAGGTAAACTCTACAACAGCCAGTGCACGGTTTGTGTGATTTATGTGTTGAAATCTGTGCATTTTCTTTTTTTTTCACTGCCTCAAGGGATGGGCCCTTAAAAGCCCATCCCTTACTAACTGCCGCCGTTACACTTGATAGGTGTAAACACAGAGGAGGGGAAATTGTCCTTGGTAACTCATGTAGAATTGCTTCCAACGAAGGAAATAGTTGATTTCACCAACACAACATGCAGGATATGTCTAGTGTCACGTTGTGCCTTGGTGACATACACAAAAGTAACTGTTTACATGCTTTCATTTTACTTTATGTGACAATAGAACAAGGGAGTAGCATTGAGCAGGGGCCACGTGTTTTGCAATCATTCAGAGTGATCGTGTTTACATTTGATTAGATCTACAATGGAGAGTGTTTGTCGTCTTTGCTGGAGGTTTATAGGAGAACGCACGAGGAACTTTGCAGACCAATCTCTACACAGGCGTTTTCTGTGTGCGTTGTCCATGACATTCTGATATGTCCGTAACTGGTCATTTGTGGTACATTTCATCACAACATCTTCGAGTTCTTGGTATCAAAATTGACACGCAATTGGGACAAAAGAACACCCATGAAAAGAGAAAGGTGCCCCGCCGCATTGATATTTGCAATTTCAATATAAAATTTGTGGTCATTCTCAAGTATTGTGTTGTATTAAGAGAAACCTTGAGCACCAACGAGCACTTCAAAAGGTCAAAAGTGCTTCCTTTCATGCCTGAGGACTGCAGTTCAATTGTGAAAAACATTTCACATTAAAAACCATCAAATTGCCCCAGTCTACCTACCTCGTCTTCTCTCTCTGCATGACAGGTGGCCTTTTTTCCATACATTGCAACGACTGTCAGAATCACAGGTATCTACATGTTCAGAGTTGGGTCTGTATCGTTACCTGCACCGCCTTCCCTCCCTGCTGCATCACCTCCCTTTAGAGGCTGCGTGTATTGACCACAGGTGAGTATCGATGTCAATGTCACGTTGTGTGTGTAACAGCTAAAAAAAAAAAAACATTATTAAGTCACACTGGACCTGTTGAAAACGACATAATGTAAATGGCTTGGATCCACTAAAACTTAAACTGGCTCAAGTCCAGTTTAAGTTTATTTTGCTGGATCAGAATTAGGTCTAGGAAACAGAATCAATGTACAATCCACTGTTTGCTCCAGTACATTAACTCCCAAAAAGTGTGCCAGGCATGAAAACGGGTGAAAAAGGTGAGAAGGAGATTACCCCTCTAGGGCGGGGTCCCAGAGATTTACCGACTCGGTACTTTCAATCTCGTTCAGTAAGATGAACGAATCTTTCTTCGAGTCATTCGTTGACGGGGGGTTTATAAAATCTACCTCCTCAAAAACGGTAGCGTTAGCTAATCATTTTCCACCGGAGCTTTAGCTAGCTGGCCACCTATTTTGGTTTCAAAACGGCGAATTTCGCCGAAAGGTGAGGGATTTTCATGCCTGGTGTGCTCTACTAATATAAAACACAAGAAGTACAATTACGTACAAACCACCCGGCCAAAAAGCCATACTATTTTATTACATTAAAACAAATCTACAAAAATGTCATGAAATAAGTATAGTTTTAGACTTGATATCTACTGATAGTGATATTACACAACCTGGGTGAGGACTGAGAACAATTTATTTTATTTCTCATGGTCGTAGTCTGATATTAATTTATGTTTATCCACAGTACGTATAACTTGCTTACCATAATGTCCTCCGGTCTGCAGTGAACGTGTTACGGGACTCGGTCCCTGCGAACATGGGAAAAGTTCTCTCTTGCCTCAGACCACTTCTCAACACACCTCAGGGTGCTGGCATCCTTTTTTCATGTCGGTCTCGTGTTGACAAGAGACAATCTTTGCTAATAGCTAAAACTTAGCCGTTGCTAATTTTCGTGGGAGGATTAGCAGTTAGCCCGTCGATATACGTGACTTAGATTCCGAGGATTGCGCAATCAGGTCGGGCAACCATTGGTCCAGAGGGAGCCAATCGGGCTCCTCGTAGGCAGAAAGTTGCCAACCATAACGACGTCACAATGGGCGCAGAAGGCACAGGTTAATAAATATAAACAGCAATAATCATTCGTAATTCCACAAAGAATTTACGAAGATTAAAAATATATATATATTTTTCAGAAAAATGAAAAAATATGTTTTTAATCACGCAGCATTCACACAATCAAGTCCCAGTACATACCATATAATAATCATAAATTAATATGCACAGCAATTTTTTAATCATTTTAGCCACATTAAGGGGTGTATTATTGTAGTATGTCATGGCTCTGTATATAACATAGTTGAATGAAAATGATACTTTGCCAAAAAAAAAACATTTTTCATTAGTCATTACCATCTGATAAGCAGATGAGCGCGGTAATACAAATGTTAGGAGATATTAAAGACCCATAGCTCCACCTAGTGGTCAGATAAGTTCCTACCACCTATAGCTTGACCTTTTTAAAACCTCGGAGGTTCTTTCCCTTTGGTCCCAGTAAGCAATATTCTTTCTAGCAATCTCTTAGCCCCAGGCTGTGTGCTTTTGCTGCCCTCGCCACTAGATATGTTGAGCCGGAAAAGGATAGCGTAGAGGTAGAAAACCGACAGCCCTACTCTTTAGTAATATACACGAGATGTAATGATGACTTTCAACCAGCAGATATAAGGCATATAAGAGCTTTTTCGTAACTAAATATTAATGAGCAGGCAGTTTTAAAAAGAAAATATCCTAATAAGGAATTATGATATGCACCTCCCTTTTGAGTTGGTTGCTTTAATAGGCCCAAGAGAAGAAACTGAAAAGTGATGATATTTTCGAAAATATATATGACATGCAGGGTATATGTATTATTTAACCTTCAGAATGTACTGTTCACATTTCACAGTGTGTTGTCTGACATCTGGTGTTTTCTATATTATACGTCCAAATATCTTTCTTTTTTGAGTAATTGTTATTGTCCCTTTGACATTACTGTAAAGTCTTTAGCTCATTAGCAACATTTAAAATAATGTTGTGATTTAACTTTTTTTGTTGGAATGGCAAGATTCCAGAGGAGGAGCTCTGCCTGCCTTTACTCAGGGCTCATATTCGTTACAAAGTGCATGTGAAAACAAGGTGAACCCATGTAAAACAATACACTAAAACATGATCATTGTACACGTGAATATCTGCTGCTAACATAATAATAACAATAATAATGCAAATATTGGGATGATAATAATCCAAATTAATGAAACTAATTAGAATGAAAATATAAATGACATTTCCTTGTTTTCTAGAAAGAACACTTCTTTGTCAATGCTGTGTCGCATTCCAGAGCAATGGGTGGCAGTAAGCTTTCCTATGACAACCTGTCTTTACAGGGTACGAAGAAGAAGTAGGCTAACTAGTAGCTATCTCCACCAGTTGTCTTTCTAAAGGTAGCAAGTCAAGCTGGAGAGGACTGCTTTAGGAAAGCGGCGGTGTGCTGCACAACTGCCGCCTGAGCATTTGGATAAGGTAACTGGACGTGGAGGGTACAGTCAGAGTTTAAAAAAAAAAGGATGTGATACGAAGTATCTTGTCTAGTATTTATTCATGCGGTGCGAAGCAGTCCTCTTCTGACCTGTGTTCTGCCATGGTTCCGACATTTGGGTGAACACACGGGCTTAACTTAACAGGAGCTCACTTATTAGCTCCCGTTAGCATGAGCGCTAGTTAGCATTAGCTCCCGTTAGTATCAGCTGCCGTTAGCATTAGCATTAGCTGATCACTACAGTTTATGCTGCTTTCAGGTGCTCCTTGTGGACGGCACCGACATGATTTGAAAAGGTTGCTCGCTGAACTGAGTTCTCCGATACGGAGTAAATCAAATCAACATTCACTGTCGGATTATTAAATAAAGTATTTCTATATGGATTTATAATCGCATAAATGTTTTTTTTTGACCAACCACACACATCGTCGATACATACAAATGTCACATTCAAATCGTTATGCAGCTTGATAAGCCCGCTGTCACTTGTGCGTTTCAGACAAACTGTCATGAGTTTGCGTGTTGCTTTGCAGTTCAGGCAACATTCGACAACCTCACCGAGCCTAAATAAAACAAGGAAAGAAAGAAGCCTTTGGCCCGCAAGTGAACTGTGGTGCAAACGTGAAGCGGGCTGACCAGAGTCATAATGAATATGGGTTCATATCAGATCCCCTTCAAAAAGAGAGCGCATATTTGAAGGGTTGAGCCGGGTACGGACGCTCCGTTTGGGCCGCCTGCTGTAGCCAAAGCAGCTGTGATGTCCATATGAGGTCGAGTCCAAAGTGTCACGACGGAACAGCGTGAAGCCCACTGCGGGACCAAACATCAGGTCAAAACATAATTTAACAGCGCTCACTCAATATTATACATGTTTAATTTACTGTGTAAGGATGAATATAGTTTTGTGTTCAACATGTCGTTCAGTTGCTTCCTTCTGCATTCGGCAACTACACACACAGTGTGCGATCGGGCTGATCTATTTATCTATATATATATATATATATATTTAGTAATTGGAAAATAAAGGTGTTTTTTTTTTTTGGTCGTGTCCTTGCTTTAATGTTGAACGTTGCATGTTTTCTTTCCAGGCGGGTGCTTGAGGATGCGGCGAGGCGAGCCCATTTCACCGGCTTTCCAGGCCCCGGTGGATGTCCACGCCAGTGCCGATGGCCAGGTTTACATGTTCAACAGGAGGCCCAATGAGTCGTCTGTGTCCTCAGAGGACGAGGAGCTCACCGTCATGGAGATGAGGCCGCGGGTTTTCCAGGATCCGGGGCCGGCCACTGTGAGGAACGTGCTGCTCCTGGAGCGGGAGGTGCTAGATGGCGACAACCTCAACAAGCTGGCGCTGCAATATGGCTGCAAGGTCAAGATTTCGTGGATGCATTTAAATTGAAGTTTCTGGTCTTGAGCTTTTCTTGTGTTAACATTCCGGTTTCCGTCAACAGGTGGCAGATATAAAGCGGGTGAACAACCTCATGCAAGAACAAGATTTATTTGCTTTGAAATCCATCAAAATACCGGTTCAGAAACACAGCTTTTTAACAGAGATGCACAGCGACCGAAGCGACCTTCAAGAAGAAATGCCACATTCTTCCACCACACCAGTGAAGCCCCTGGACCGAGCCAGAGTCCAACCACATCTGCAGGAGGTCACAGATTTTCTCATGGAGGTGGACCACGATATCGAGAAACTGATTCAGACCACAAACGATCAAGATGACGATTTCTTGGATGGCTCAGAGAAACGGCGGCTGTGTGGTGTCAGAGGGCAGCGTCTGACCGGTCAGGGTGCAGACTGGGGCATCCAGTGGTGGAACGCTGTCGTCGCCATGCTCCTGATAGGCATCGTGCTGCCGCTTTTTTATGTCATTTATTTTAAGACGAAGGATAACGGGGTCGTCGGTGGCGACGGGTCTGTCCTGTCGTCCACCACCTCTTCAAACTCCTCCGGGACGGGCCTTGATGCAAGAGGACCGGAGCACTTTCAAGAACCAGGATAGGTGGAAACGGGAATCATTTTTAAGACTGTACCGCTCGATGGGCAATCAGGATAAAGCTAATTTTCAATTGTGCAATACCCCCACATGTCTGAGAATTTATATATATATATATATTTATATATAATATATATATATATATATATAATATTTTATACCTTAAAAACTGACGGATACTTCAATGATTGCCATAAAGGGAAATTGTTAGAATTAAGGGTACTTAATATTCTATCGAACTGCTTTGATAACAGTTTTGTGATCCTTTGGTTTTGGTGATCACAGTTACTCCTTCTTTCCCAAATTTGAGATGTAAAATGGTCTTAAGGTCGTCACGTGACAAACGCTGTGTTGTAATTGCAAATAGAAAATGTACTTTATATGAAAGAAACAATCTTTCTGTGCCTTTACAGTATCAGCACATCAAGAAGTGTCCTCATATCAGTGTTGTATGTTGACACCATCTTAATGTCTATCCCTATACATTAATATATATTTTAAAGATTTGCCTATACAAAGGGGAGAACTTTAACTTTCAGTGTTCAGTTTGTGCCTTGTTTGAGTGAACTGATTTGTGTGTTGATTCTTTGGTTGTTGCCGTACACCTTAATGCCCCCTCTCTCCGGGTCTGAGTACAGTGCCAAATGTGTACGTTTGTGTTTACAGTGAGAATTTGTTGCAATTCTTCAATCCTCTTAGATTGTTTGTGCTCATTCGACAGCTACCGATCTTTAATCTTCAAGTGGTTGGATTTTGTGGCAATAACTTCTCGCCATTAGTTATCCGTAAGTTTTCGCCATTCAGTGTGATATAAAAAAAAGTGCCTTAAACCTTTGTCAGGTGGTATAGTGTTGCACACGCTGTCTGATGGGGGATGGAGTCCACCATCAGCAGGTGGCGAGCTTGCGTAGCTTGTCTAATTTTGAAGACTAAAGTATTTTAATGGATGGATTTTGATGACCTATTTTTCAAACGTCTAAGTCAGTTTAGCAAAAATGACATGATGGATGTCCAATAATGTTTTTTGTGTTGCATGTTCCTATTTAAATATAAACATTACGGAGGAAAAGTCTTCAGAAAGTATCCTCTTGGTTCTTTGTGTATTGATATTTTATGCACAGACACACAATATACTTGGATGAGACTACTAGCAGTTTACAGCTACACATATACACACATACTATATTGCAGAGCTAGAATATGTATATTGGTAATAACCTGTTTTTCAAGTAATGTTTTAGTGATATGCAGTAACCATAGCTACCAAAAGATGGCACAATGCTACTACTTGAAGGCTGCCTAGTAAGTAGGATCACAATGCTTTAAAATATTTTTTGGGATTACAATAATGTAAGCATGACTTTTTATTTATTAATAAATCCTGTTGCTACCTCACATGTTAGATGGTTATACCAGTCAAGGTGAAACATCAGAAGCTTGGAATCCTGTATATATATATATGTATATGTATATATGTATATGTATATATATATATATATATATGTATATGTATATATATATATGTGTATGTGTATATATATATATATATATATATATGTATATATATATATATATATGTATATATATATATATATATGTATATATATATATATATATGTATATGTATATATGTATATATATATATGTATATATATGTATGTATATATATATACGTATATATGTGTATATATATATGTATATATATATAGATAGATATATATGTAAATATATATATGTATATATATATATAGATGTATATATAACATACATATATACATCTTGCCAATTTGGATAGACACAACGGTTTTGGATTGATGCCAGTTGTTTGGACACCAATGTCTTAAAAAAAAGAACAGCTGTATTTACAAATCAACATTGAACGCCCAACGGCACGTAAATATGAAATATGATTTCAGACACTAAAACCACCAGCCGGCCATAAAGGCGAAATGCATTATTCTGCTTTCCCTCTTTGTGCCAAAGTCAAAGCACAAGGTCGGCCGCCGAGCAGCGCTGCAACAACTCATAGGAGATTAACAGATGCTTGTTGTAATGGGCTCTGAACCTGGATATTGTGTTTGAATAATAGCGTACCCAAACACTGGTGTTCAAACAGCTTGTAATCTTAAGTTTAAAACCAAAGGGAACATTCATCCTCGGGAGACGTTTGACTTCAAAGGACAGGGACAGCGGAATAGATTAGGAACTTTGTGAATAGCATTTTTTCTAACCACAGATGCATGTGTGAGTCCTCACGCAGTAGTCATATAGTCGACTAGTGAGGCCAAAAAAGCCTCACACGTGGTATTTTCATTTTAGTTCATAATTAGTGGTTTTTCCGTCTGAAGACGTAATGCAGATTGTGTCACATAAATACAAACATATGAATGGCATTATTTAACCAAACAACAAAACTGTACTACAATCATGTGACATCAGACATCATGCAACGTTCAAAAATCTGTGAAAACTATTTAGAAGACGGTTGAGTCTGTTCTACGTAAATACTCTGTGTGATGAAGACTAAAGCTGATATCCTGCAAAACAGATGGTGAGAGACGTCTAACGTAACAAAAACCAGGGACAACGTTCGCAGCTTGAAAAACTTTTCGGAGACAGGAGGACAAAAGTTTAGCAGCTGAGCTCTATTGCTGCAGAGGCTCTATGCCTTTTATTGTTCCATGACCTGAGACCCTGGTCTCATAACTGCAGCTCACGAACCCTTGCTCTGAACTCGCTCCAGGCCGCACAGCTGTGGCTCCGTGCCAGCTCCCAGCCGGAGTCTTATCCTGCTGTTGATGCACGGGCCTCCTCCCTCTTCTTTTACCTCCGAGCTGGACACTTCTACTCCCTGCCTTTCTTTATTTGAACAAATCCATTTCAGGTCTGCTCCTGTGGAGGAATGATTTCCTAAATATAATCTAAATATTAACCTTCAACAATCCAAATAAGGTGTGTCTGTTTAGTATGAAACTGTCCTGAGGGGGTTTGGTTGATGCGTTACAGCGAGACAAAATGACACAGACTGACTTTATGTAACTTCACAATAAACTAAATGAAATACGTGAAGTGCACTTCTGCCTTTTGGACATCTACCTTTAAAATGAAAAACTCTAGCTAAAGTATATCCATGCACGCTCTGCTTATTGGTGTGTTTCCAGGGTCGCTGTGACCGAGAGGCTGGTTTTGTATCCAACACATTTTTGGGGTAGAGCGTGCTTTTAATGGAGGCAGGGGCTTAAGAGGAGGGGGTTTTCCGCCCCTGAACAAAGCACAACCATCCATACAGTCGGCGTGGAGGGTGAATACAGCGAAAAGATTCACGAGCAACCCGAAGCTCTGCAGCTTTAAGAAGTTTGCACACTTGAGCAGCTGGCAGCGAGCCACTTGGCCAACATAAACAGCCCTAATCCTTTTTCCAAGGAGCTTTCAACACTCATCTCTCTGGCACAACGGCCACTGACTCACCCTCTCCCTCCTTCTCTCTCTCTCTATCTCTCTCTCCCTCTCTGACATTCCTGCCTGTTCCGAGGTCTGCAGGACCGTCACCAGGAGGCACTGTGGCCCTTGCTATGCAAAGGCTGCTGGGTTCATGCTGTTGGTCACCATTCACTGCTAAGGTATGTGCCTTCCTTTGATTTCCCCCCCTGAAGCAAACCAGGTCTCAGTTTTCACTCTTGCTTAGTGCGAATGGAGGCTCGGTTACACCAGGTCATGTTGACCTGCAACCACAGAAGTATGGCTTGTTCATACAATCGGTGTTGACGAAAAAGTCAACTGTTCACATATTCATATCATCTTTCTGGTGAATGGTTTGCAGGAGCTTTTTTTTTAACCTTGTTCTCAAGTTAAGTTTTAATGCTAAATACAACTACACGTGGATTAAAAACTTTAAATTCAGTATCTTCTTTACGATAAAAGAAGTGAGAAGTGAGTGGGTGAGGCTCGGCTCTGTTTCACTTGGGGGGGGGGGCAGGGACATCCAGGGTTTGGGTTTCCTCTCTTCCCGGGGGGGGATTTGGCAGACACAGGGTAATTTGTAGTGAAATTTCCAAAGCAGTTTGTTTTGCAGGTGGCTGAGAACGAAGGCAGGGCGTGGTGGGGAATGAGAGAAGCAATTTGCTCTCCGTGGGCTGTGAATGTGTGTATTGTTGCACAGCAGTGCAGGCTTAGTGTTGTAGCAGTGTGTGCTGTGTGCTGTGGTCAGGGCTGGACTGATGGATGGGAGGCAGCAGCAAGCGCACGCGTTCACAGACCAAGTGGTTGTTCAAAAAGATTGCAATAAAATGCCGTTTTTTATTTGATGCGTTTGGTAAGGTGGTGGGGGGGAGGGGGGGGGACTCAGCCAGTATGTGACAAAGGACCATGAGACTGTATCGGACGGTCCTCGCCAGAAGACATTTTAGTCTCATGTGTTTCGGAGTGGATTTCTTTAAAAAACGCTTCTCTTTGAATACGCAGCCAGCGTTTCAAGGTGTAAATCCACGCCAGATGTTACAGCACCACTTCAAGAACACACAAGGTGAAAGGGAAAGAGCTATGAGTTCTTAATTTGGTTTTTATCAGCATACATCTTCAGTCTTATGAGAAACATGTTTGTGCTTTGAAAAACGAATGCAACAGAATATTAGATAAAGAAATATTATATCAGGGAAGATCTAACCATCAAAGGGGGATTTTTTTTTTTAAAAAAGGCGCGTGGAGAGAGAAAAAAATTTTTAAATATAGAGGGGGGGGGTTTGTTTTTTTCCCCTAAATTCGCCCGGGAAAAAAAGGGGCTTCTCGGGAAACACCCCCCCCCCAAAAATGGGGGTTTTTTCCCCTGGTTTCCCGGGGGGGGGGGGTTTTTTTTTCCCCCCCCCCCCCCCCCCCCCCCCCCCCGTGGAGGAACCAATTGTGCAGCACCTGTTTTACATTCCAACCGGAGTTTGAAGGGTCTTCACCCGAGAGACGCTTTCAGTCAAACTACACAGATGGAGAGTATGAAGAGGGAGGGAGAGTAATGTAGTCTTTCATTATTATTCTCTCCTGAATCCTTGAGTCTCCAAGACATCATGTGTGAGCCGTACAACCCGCACAATGAACATTTACAATACAAACTCTCCGTTATAGTAACGATTTTACTGTAATAATGAGATTTAACTGTAAGTTACATTATATGTTTAAATTATTAAATAGATTATAATAGATTTACAAGGACATATAATGATGATTATTTATGAACACTGAAAATTGTGCAACTTAAAAGATGTATTCATGAAGAAATGTCCCACAGTACTATACATATTTATGTTATTCATAAAACAAACAATATCAGGATGAAAGCGCTTTACAGACATTTAAGGTAAAATTGGCAAATTGACAAGAATTGTTAGAATTGTGATGGAATCAGGCAACGCATGATCTAATGTGCGTCTAATGTAGCATATGTTGTTGATATCTGCAGCTGGCCCCAGACATTCCTAAAAGAACTTTAATACTGTGAGACATTACACATCAAAAATAATAATATCAAGACATAAATGAAATGTTTGGCTTGCCCAGTTCTTGACGCAATTATTTTTGTCTATTTATTGACAAACAAACAACATAGGGTCCGGATTATTAGAAATATACATATATATGCACACATATGCAAATCCTATTCTTTTAATGCTGCTTTTTTATACGTTTTTTTCAAGCTGTCTAACAGTTTCTCTTGAAGTGACCGTGATATACTGTTGTACAAAGACATCATTTACTCCCTTATTAGTAATTATTCAACCTTATTCATTGTTACAACTTGATAGTATATTAATAGTAATATGTTGTAAGAGACATAATACTCAAACTGCTCTGATAATCTACAAATACCCTGGTATTTAAATCCTTTCAAACTGCTGTTGACATCGACTCCGGGTTTCTTGTTCTTCCTGAAGGTTAAGTTTTCCATTTTTATTTTCTGAGAGAAAGCAATAAATTGGAATGTTTCTTTGCCAATGTGTCTCAAGTAAGATTTTTGTTAATCTTTGTTAAGAATTCAAATACCAGTCAAGTCTAACTGTATCTTATCTTACAGTAATGCTGTTGCATATAAACTTACACTCCATTGTGTCCATGTGGCTGCAAAGGGACAATGTGAGATGTTGGCAGGGGGAGAGAATCCACGGAGACAGGCATGGATGAGGAGAGGATAATGGGTTGGACATGCTTCTCTAAATCACTGGATGCAACTCAACTGAGCACCTGCTTGGCTGCAATAGCACAACAAGACGTAAACAGGGTGCTCAATGTGGTTTCTCATTGCCCTGATAGTATTTTAACCCTTTATCTGCCACCTTTAAAGTGACCTAATGGCTTCACTTGCAGAAAAACGTTCAGTTGCGCTTAAACAAAGATTTGCAGTTTGTCATGTTACAATGAAGCTATAAATGAAGCTACACAATATATCGATAGATTATGATTAACAATGCACCATCGAATCCATTCTATACATTCAAATTAATTATGAGGACATTACAAGAGGTAATCAGGTGTAAATTGGTTGAAAGGACACTGAGTGGATTGAGATTTTCATTTTCTCTTCCTCTATTTTCTAGATGCTTGTAGATAAACAACAGACAAAGAATCTTCCCTTTTCTATTGTGCGCCTTTGAGATCCACTTCACGGCCGTCATACGGATTCAAGCCTCTGTATCTGGGCTGCAGAAGCGTGTGCTAAACAGTCCTCCAGTCTCGGGCACAGTTTATTCCATCACTCCTGGCAGATAATTCGCAGATCCCCACTGCCAGAGGAACGCTATTGAAACTGGATGGGTTTTCAACTGGAGCTGGAATGCCTCTCGCACACTGGTGGAGGATTATTGTTATTAAAATACATTTTCAGTTCCGCGGTTTGATTTTGGACACAAGGACCTTTGGGGGGGTTTTAGGTATGAAAGGGAGGATAATACATAAATTATGTACGCTGTGGCAATCGTTAATGAAATGAAAATCCTCCTATGCCGCCACCATGAGTGAATTGTTTGCAAAAACTGAAACAATGTTGTGGAGTATATTGTTAAAACATAATATAGCAGTGATCATTCCAGGAGATAAACATGTCTGAAAGACGACATGGGTACTTAGAACCACTTGCTGCTGGACTCCACAAAGTCGGCCTGCAGATCGCAGGTTGCCGGGCTCAGTACACAGCTCATCCCTCTGAAGTACTCGAAAACATTCAAAGCACGACGCGCCGCAAGATGCCAAATTTCCTGCCTTGCCCAGATGTTCCCGTGCAGATATTCTCAAAGGACGCTTGCAAAGCAAAAGTTATCTGCCCACTAAAGCTGCAATCTGCTTGCTGTTTGCTCACACGGCCGAGCAAGAGACGCGTTTGAAAGTCCCAATTTAAACACAGTTCCCACAAGGCCAAAATGAATAAATAGACCTTTTTCAACTTCATTTTTTAAAATAAATAAAACCATACCTTCCAGTCTGAATATATGTGAATGTGTTATAGAGTACGGGTGGATGATGATGGAGACAGATAGATGGATAGAAATAAAAGCACACAGCGAACAAGCCCCCCATCGCTGGGCTCTCACAGCTGCCAAACGTGGGGGGAGCGCTTGTCGGCCGTTCTCTTTGGTGAGTGGCTGCTGATTCAAGGCCAGATGAAGGCACGGCGACAGGCTGAAGACTGAATTGTAACCGTGGCGATGATTTGGCATTGGGGAGACATAAGAGAACTGGCCGCAGAAGGACTAAAGTAAGACCTTTCACTTCAAAAAGCAATCTTATGATGGCAATTTACCCCTGAATTTTACCCATTTTTATTTCTGAGATGCTGCATCAAGTGTGTTTGTGTGTGCGCCGTCGGGTCCATTGGTCTTTATCCACACGAGCAGATCTTGATCCTCTATTAGTCATAACGTCATGATCCAACATTACTACAGTAAAACTCATGCCCTCTGGAGAATTTGTGGAAACCTTCTGACTGAGCATTGGAAATATTAAAGTAGGTCAATAATGTGTGTTATTTTGGGATGATAATATCCTTTTGTCACTGGATTAAGGATTCAATCTACTGAGGAACCTTTCCTCAACATCTTCAGAGAGCTTTATCAGCTCTGATGAAGGGTGTCACATAGAATATCTCGTATCTCAGTAACTCAGTTAGTAATCGAGCCAATGGAATCAATCAAAGACTTTTCAACTATGCGTGTAGTTGGGCGCCACTTTAGCAGTCCCATGATAGCGATCGGGATTAGGGGAATATGCCTCTTCTCCCTCCGCCTCTCAGCTCTGTGATAAACAGACTCGTGTACAGAGAAAGATCATAGACGGCTTCAGATGTGTGTGGCGGTCTCACTTAATGCTGCTAAATACACAAGCCCCAAGAGTCAAACATACTTTTCTGTTTTTTCTGCAATTGAAGGATTAAAAAGTTAATGGTGTAAGTGTTTTCCTTTGACCAAAAGGCTTAAAGTTAACGGCGTAGACGTGTAAGTGGCCACATCTTCCAAACAAATAGGAGGCTCATTTAACTCACTGTATGTATATTTTTAAAAACAGCAGTGCAAGAATATATGCCTCGTTTGACCAAACTGTGATATAATCTCCACATGTGCCGTTCGTTGGCTTGTGCTGTGTTTAC